TTGCGTTGTTTGATTCGTCACAGTGTGCCTATTACTTAACGTGACAAACAATTGTAATAAAATAACAAACTTCTCAGGAGCTTAAGACTACGGGTACTTCTACGCTAAATTGCTGTGATTACGTGCTCGAGTGGACCCGCTTGAAAGGTGATTGTGGCCGAACCGTAGTCAATAAATTCCAATCGACAGGCCCTCGATCGCATTGCTTAAACAAATTATTACAGGACAATCGCCGCTAGCGACCCGCTCGTACGCCTAATCCGACGGCTAAATACCATCGACCCTCATATAATACAAGGTCCCGTGCCAAGGACAACAGTGCCACCGACAAGGTCGTCAGGTCCTCATAGCTGAAAATTGTGCTGCGAGTGATTGAGAGTGTTGGTGGACATGGCGTGGACCGGATGCGACTGCGATGCTGCGAAGAGGCTATGATGCGAGTGCGACTTGGCGCGCGACAATTCGCTGTAGCGATCCTGATCCTGGGGCGCGACCAGCAGTACCGGCCTCAGTGAGAGAGACTTGCGCGAGCCCGCGACGCTCTGGGCCTCGTTCACGTAGCCCGGGTTCACCTCCCCTGCAACACACGCAACATCGTCATTAGATTATCTCGGAATGATGCGGCGATAAGGCCTTAGGACAATAGTAGCTTGAATTTTTATTAAATGCACGATTACGTGTTCGAATGTGCAAGGACATTGACTGGCTTACAACTTATTCGGTTCTCCTTTCACTTTAATTTGGCGGATCTTTCACATTGATTTCTTAATGCCTTAATTAGCGTCTATTGTTTGGACGAAGTGTCGCATGTCGAGTCATCCAACACCACGCTTTCACGCTTCTACGCGCTAATTCATAGATTCCATGGTGCTGGTGCGCTTATCGAGACAATTTGCGCCCGAAGAATTAAAATGCTCTGACAATAATAAAGAGTTGGGTCGATTAATCTCAACTTTCACACACGAGTCAAAACTCGAATTCTCATTCGTCGTTGGGCTATGAAATTTTTATGCCGAACGTTATCCCGAAGCCATGATAATTGTCAAAAATCGTCGTTATGAACAAAATACATCGAGCCACGCTACTTTCTAAATGAATTACTTCTATTTCACATTACGTTCAATTGTTTCCATCGATTGCTTAAGCTTGCCACTTTTCTCGCAATTTTTACTTAAATGCCCAACACATGTAATAGATAATGTCGATAACGGCGTATTATTAACATTTCCAATAATTGCGGACAACTTATATTAAATTATAATAAACGTTACTATAAAACTATTTCTAGTAATAATCGGCATGGAAAAAGTTCCCTTCGATCTTACAAAATTGTACTTTCTAATCATTTGTTGCCCGCACTTGAGAATAATTGAATATTATTATGTGAAACGAGGAAGAGCTAGACGGGAAGAGCTTTCACGATATAAAAAATTGATATAAAATTTTTATAAACATAAGTAAGCATGTTCTAATGTCAACGAATTCCCGAGAGCATAATTAACGCCAACCAAATACAAGTTCCGTTTATAAAAACAAAATAAAATGACAAACAAACAAAACAAAAAAAAAAAAAGACAACAACAAACATTTTGCCAAAAGTTCTTGTCAATTATAATCGAGATAACAGAAAAATTGCCGACGAGAGTAAAATGAGCTCCTAATGAACGAGATCTAAGCGAACGAAATCCACACGCCCGTTCGGCATTAGCTGCATCTAATTTTAATAAGTCAGATCTTCATATTTCAACGTTTACTGTTTATTTGTGCAAAGTATTACGAGACAAGACGACGTTCTCTCTATTATAAATTGTCCGACTTCTTGGAACGGATTTCTCATTCGATTAAAGTAAGAAACGTGACTGGGATATCGTTTGGCCACCGTTCAAAACAACTTGGCTCCACTTTCGTACGTACGCCCCGTGAAAGTAGTGGAAAAAGTTTTAAGGAGCATCGGCACGAAATTACCATGTTAAATTCATACAAAATTCGACGCTGTAGTGGAAAAAAGGAATCGCCCGAGTAGGAGATATAGTCCGTAAAATCAATAAAGCCAGCGCATTAAGTGTTTTTCCGTAATAAATCCACGGCCGTTAAGCTCCGGAGACCTTAATATATAATGTACTTTTAATAAGAGTTTAAGTAAATGCGCCGGGGATACTCGAATAGCCATTGTTTATGAGAGCCGTAAAAGTCAGTAGGCAAACATTTTCCACTTTCGCAGGGCCATAAATTAGCGAGGCCGGGCGAATTGTCTTCGCGTGGCTTGGAGCGAGTGTCTCCTCGCTTGGCGATCGCCGACGCCGACGCCGTCGCCTCCTTACCTTTATAGAGCGATCCGTTGTTGAATGGCTCGGGTTGCAGCTTCACGTGTCTCGACGCCAAAATGAAAGCGAGGGCAGCCAAGGTCGCAGAGTCCAAAGCGGCGATCGCCGCCAATGGAATCGCCCATCGCACCGCGCACGCACCCGGATTGTACCTAAAGGAGTAAAAAATAATCAGTGGCTATGTCCTTTGGCTATGCTTTAACGGGGCGTTAAAAGCGATGAGCCGAGATAAATAAGATAGGGAGGCTGGTTGTAAGATCGTCCTGATCTAGAGGTGCGCTCTTGTAACTGGTAAATAAATTGGATGGTTATTGTCTTGCAATTGTTTCTTCAGACTCGATAAAGTAGAAATAGACGTAAGCTCCTTTAGAGTACGTGAATCGACGGTATTTTTTTTTTTTTTTTTTGCAAACAAATTTAGAGAAGCCGTTAATTGTAATTTCATTTGGATCGATAAATCTTGGTAGACATTTGACGAGTGCGCGCGATTAATACAGCAAAACATTGCTTGAAAATCACTTTGACCGTGTAATCCGAGCACTTTTCCATCGACACCTCTCTCCCAACGACGTATCCAACAAACATTTATAATTCATCCGCAAATATTTTGCACAACGGCTTTTACGACGACTGTAATACGTCGACAGTTTCGTCCCTCACCCACATTACACGCGCTGATTAATTCTCTATCCGTCTCAGCTTACAATGTGCGACAGTCGTTTCGTTGTTTCGTCGATTAAATGAAAATAATAGATTCAGATTTTACAAGTTGCTCCGGCCGCGATCGCGTTTCTTAAATCTCTCGGTATACAAAAACATTGTCATCGCGAAAAGTAACACGCCCAATGAAAGAAGATATATATATATATATATATATAAAGAGAGAGAGAGAGAGAGAGAGAGAGAGAGAGAGAGAGACAGACAGACATACAGAGAAATTTTAACCTAACGTATCATCCGAGAACTCATCCCTCCAATCTTTCTCTGAAAAATAATATTGAGCTAAGCGACCAAGATTGCACTCACCTTGAGGCCGTGGCGCCACAAATAGCGCGAATAAGCGGCGAATCCCAGCCCAGTGGATAGATGCAGACTCCGACCGCCATGCAAACCGCTGCAAAATTACAAATACACGCGCATTAGTCATTGATCATTTGGCGTTGACGTGTGGACGATTAAGCGACTCGCTCTCACACCCGCAAGCCGTGAATCTACGCTAATTCCACGCTAACTCCGCACTCGAAATGCCAATGGCACACAAAAGCAGACGATAGGCCTGAGAAAGTCGTGGGCGCCGAGTACGCATACCGTGCTTGAAGAAGGCGTGTTTGACGAGGTCGGCAGTGAAAGGTGCCGTGTAAGAAAGAGTCGATATTTCTCAGACGTCGAGAAGTCTCTTATCTTACAATATTACCGAACTATACCGAAAATTTGTATCGACAATCTCATTCCTACCCGTTGAAAACGAGAGGAGAGGGAGTTTAGATTAAAAAGCCGTGCCTTTCGCCGCCTCTCCCATGCCCTTGAGCGCTCCGAAGTTTAATATTAATATTATAAAGTAATCGAAAGCGACATAGTGGCCAATTATATACTTGTAAGTATTGTAATGTCGTAGGTCAATGAGGTAGGCGATCGAGCAATATCATCGCGCTCTCGATCTCGATCGATTCCCATGGATAGACACGCGCTCCATAAGCGAGTGACCAGGGTTTTGCGATACGGAAGCGGGGGAAGAGTCCGAGTATCGGCGGTCCTTAAACTCGTCCCTCACATCTTATCACGTCCTTTCTCACGACGCATCGTATCGCGTCCTTTCCATAAGCGCAAGCTCTCTCACATTCCTCGTCGTGCGTCGCCGTGCGACAACGGACTTTCTAAGAAAGCACAGACTGCCGCAACGATTGGCATTTTCTCCGGTCGCTCGTAATACAGTTCGTAACTCCCTCAGCTCAGCTCATTGCGCCTGTAAAAGTTGCCCCGCCCGAGTAATCGGCCGGCCGAAGATAAGGAGCGAGGGAGACAGACCGACTGGCTAATGTAACGGACAATGTGAAATGTGCGAAGAGAAAGGCGGTGGCGGCGGCGGAGGCGAAGGCGGCGGATGAATCAACGAGCGTTAAAATTAGACAGCGGGAATGGAAAATCGCAAGGGCTCGTGTTTACGGGAGGCGAGTGAGCGCGCAACAATGCCTGGCTCCGGATGGAATTACCAACTCGTGTTCTCGCGTGTTGAATAACCTCCGGCAACCCGGCAGTTTTGCTCGATAATTCGAGATCTAATAAGGCTGCACGCCCGCCGTTCATTACGCAATCCGCGCGTGAATTATCGTTTAATAGGGTATTGGGAGAAAGAAACGCTTGGTACAAGGAAAGTGCATTATGTTTCCAGGACTTCCTAAGCGATTATCGTTACTACTGCTTTAACTAAATTTAGAGCTGTTTTTTTTTTTATTTTCTTGTTTTTTTTTTTTTTTTTTCCATTACTACTCTTTTCATTTTCTTTTTCTTCTCTCTGTTTCTTCTTCACTTTGTTTTCCTCTCTGTTTTTGTTTCTCTGTGATTTTTGCGTCCAAGGCGTCGAGATTTTTTATATCTCTTTGGTCATTATGGCGCTCATTTATGTGTTTGTTGGGTGCTCTCCGTATAACTTGCACACCTTCAAAGTACGACTTTTCGTAGTTGGCAATTTTCTTTAATAAGCGAGCAGCTACATACTATTTTATGATAACACCAATTAAGATAGCGAGTACCTAGACCACCTGAAGAAAATCGTTTAAATTTAAAGTCGTTCTCTTGCGTGTGAATTACCGACACCTCAACCACCTTCAATTAAACCAAGAAATCCAATTGAAATCATTCGAGTATACAAAGTATGTTATCAAAAGTTTATTTTTTATCCTCTTTTCTCTTATGCAATAGTAGAAACTAGACTTTTTTTTAGCGACTTTAAAGTTTATAATTTTTAGGCCGAAATATAGCGTGGCTCGTATCAAAAACAAAAAAAAAACAAAAAAAAACAAAAAAAAAAACAAAACAAAAAAAAAATAAAATAACATAAACTATGAAATTCTAAATTTAAATTATTGCTTAAAATTTGTTAATTTCTTTTATAAGAGATTTAACGGCTTTGTTATATTGTACAATCATATATAATGTAATAAATTGACGATTGCAGAAGAAAACATTTTTCCTCTACATATTGGTAATAAAAAAAAAAATCCAAATATCCCATCGAAGGGTATAAAATTAAGTTTTACAATCGAGCGCAGATAATTTTGAAGAATGACAATATTTAATACAAACGCATCTCGAAATATTAATTTTTTTTTCACATTTATTTAATGCCTTTAAAAAGAAAACAAAAACAAAATTTAATCGTTAAACGAAATTAGCTAATTAAACGACAATATTATTTAACATTATAATGGCAAGTTTCTTTTTTTTATTGAGCGGCAAAATATATTATAATAGCCTGTAAAATAGTATCGAAAAATGAAAATTAAAATTAGAGTCTTAATAATTTTTACGAAGCTCAAAAATTTTTTGCACCGTAAAATATTAAAACTAGAAATACGTACACGCACATCCTAAAAAATGTTAAGTAAGGTTAACTAACTCGATGAACGTGTTCTCTCTCTCTCTCTCTCTCTCTCTCTCTCTCTCTCTCTCTCTCTCTCCATATTTTCTTTGCTTTTTCTCTATAATACCCGACTGATCGTAAAATCTTAGATGCTCGCCTATATGAATTAGGGTTAAATGGATTTACTCCAGATTCATACGATTACGTAGAAAAGGATTATTGGCTTGGACGAAGGTTAAATCTACATCTAATGGAAAAAATACACCGGGAAAAGCGATGAAATTTCGGAATACGCTATCTTTCCTTCGCTCCTTCAAAACATCCAAAAGATGCATTTAACAAATATTCGAATTTTGCCGTACGTAAAGTATGTCAACGTTATATTACAAAATTACATACAGCGCGCTCTATACAATTCAGGTGAGATTTTTTTTTTTCCATAGAATTTCTCCATTTTCTCCTTATTTACAACTCGCCGTTCTATTCTTATATTAAATATTAAAAGATTATAATTGTTAGTTCTTAGTTAATTGTACTTTCAATTTTCAGAGAGGTAAATCGCTGGGAATTTTCCTATGTCGAAAACCACATGTCGCCAAGCGCTTTATCATTTCTCGCGTAAAAGTAAATCAACAATGCCTTCGTATCTCATCTGGTTAGACTGGATATCCAGATTATCAAGCCCACAATGAGAAGGCTTCCTAAATCATTAATGCTAATACGCGCTAACCTCTCGCGCTAACCGAACATGGAAAATTAAGCCAGCCCCCCCCCCCCCCCCCGTCAACGACACCAAGGGATTGCAACGACAGTGTTTGAAGTTGCTATGAGTCCATACACGTAAGCCCCGATCCGCGCTAAATTCCTCGATCGAATAAACTTACGGGATTGAGAATCCGAGTGAACAAAGTGTGCTGTTCCCGGTATTAATAACGTCCCCGAGGATCAAGGCATCGTCGTAGTCGGCACATCATTCTCATAACGGTACATTCGACATTTCAGTCCAGGGAGCGGTAAACGCGACCTAAGCAGCGCATCTCCCTCAACGCCCATCCAATCTGCCTCTCCTGATCGGCCTATCGCCTTCCTCGCGCTACCGCCGCCTTCTCATAATACCTTTCGACATAATTTCTCGGGGATAACGATAGGTCGGTGGTGCGATTCGAGCAGTACCCGAGCCATTGTAGTCGAGTTGATTTTAAGGAAAGTTCTCGCCTCCATCGATACACGCGTCTCGAGCGGCTTAAGCCGTTGAGAGATCTTTGGATTGTGCTAAGTAGGTGATTTTCTAACTTGCCCGCGCTATATTAGAATGGACATTCAAATTTCGATCGACGACGAAATAACGTCGTTTTCGACGCTCGCAACACGTCTTTATACCCTAATATATACGACTTTAATTTAATGGAAATTAGCTACGATCTGGTGAAAGTATATTGTTATTACACTTGTCGTGTTGTTGATAAATTTTTAAGAATTGCAAGTAAACGTGTCGAAATATTTATTGGACTTAAAATAAATAATTTTCTCTCGATGTTTTGTATACGCTTATATCTATCTATATGTATATCACTTGCAATTGGCGTTACATAAACTGTTATTCACAACTTTCTAATGAAAAATGTGCATGTCGGTAAATTTATTCAGTTTATTACAATTAATATATAATCTATCGAATGAAAACATCTATATCCATATATCGTAGGCTAATGATAATTTTTTTATTTGCATATTTTAAAAATGCAGAAAGTAGCTATTGAATTTAAAAAGTATATTTGGCAGAGTATTGCCGAATGACAAGATTATAAGCGTTTTTACTTTTATTTTTCATGTATCGTAGAAAAGAAATAAATGTATTCATAAAATTTCCCGTCTGCGTAAAGTTGAGTTAAAGCATAAGTTAGAAACAGATTATTTACAAACTTGAGAAGTTTAAAAGATTTTAATATTTCCTTATCATTATCATAATATGAAATTCAACTATTCAAATGCAAAATTCTTCTACTATCCGTATGCTACGCGTCTGTAGTTGGCGTAAAAAACAAATTTGTTTTAAAATCAAATTAATAATTCCTATTACGTTTTTCCTTAAATTGGCTATAATAGTGCTACTACTTATCGTAAAACAGGCGTTATTTACAGAACGCATGGAAAGTTTAAAAATATGCTAATTCTGTACAGCAAGCAGATACAGAATATCATAATACTTCATTGGACTCTTTCTATTCTTCAATAACAACTCTTTTATATTTAACCGAACGCAAGCATTAAATGATAATCTTTGCATTAAAAGTCATCTATTAAGAGACAAAATGCCTACATGCTTTTATTACATGGCATTTGTGGATCTTTAATGAATGAAGATCGAAACGGATCTCTTCCTCGACGTAGCATCAAGCTTTCGTAATTCTTATTAAGAAATTAACTACGTAACAGTTATCTTTTCCAATTCCTTTATAATTCCTCAAGAGATCCGCAATTAATTAGATAATGATAATCTAAATCATTTAGTACGTACCGAAATGTTCCTCTATTCCGTTCGCTGGGAAGCTTCATCGTGAACTACATCCACATGTAACAATCGGCTTACTACAACGAACGTACTTCCTTTTATAAAACTCACTTCGCAATTTATACTAATTGCAACCCCAGCGTGCCCTTGTTCCCCAAATAAAGAGAATATCTTACCTTTTTTTTTTTTATTTTTTATACTCCTTATTATACTTGGTAATATAATTCATTTTAATTACAAACTGAGTAATAATTACCAATCCATATAAGAATTAAATTTAATGTAAATATACGTTCTACGCTACTTATCAAATTCTATTTCTATCTCGTTATTAATTAGTTAATAATTTTAATCCATCGGTAGATTAATTTTCCACATAATATGGTTAATCAAATAACTTTTTTTCTTTAAGAATTAATTATTAACGCGATATAATGCATAGCTGTGTGATGAATTAGTCGTCATTTTTTTTTTTTTTTTTTTTTTTTTTTTTTTTTTATTACAAGTGATAAGCGTAAATGTGTACACTTGTGTGTACAATTGTGTGTAAAACACACTAGCGTACGTAAATATAATAATAGAAATAAAATGTCGTCCGTTGAATCGTTAAGGGATAATAATATTGTATTTTTTCTCGCTCTCTCTCTCTCTCTCTCTCTATCTCTCTCTCTCTCTCTCTCTCTCTCTCTCTCCTCGATGATGAGAGAATAATCACAACAGCCTGTCTGATTCTCATTAATTCAATCTATCCAATTCTATTAGGAAGGATGCGATAGAGGAGGCTAAAAGTTGACGAGCGAGGAGATGTTCGCTTAGAAATATTAATCTGTAATTAACTGATCCACGTTAGCGCTCGACGTCAACAATTTATGATTTAAGCTATGGTGCCGTCAAAATTCTTACTCGAAAGGCCTACGATTAGCATAACGTAATTACGTAATGAGAATGTAAGAAATGCGTTACGGCGTAAGCAAAATAATCATTTTATTTTCATCATGGAAATGTGCCTGTAAGAAGCGTCGATTTAAACAATAATAGCGATATGTAGTGGCTAGCGGGCATTCCATTTTCTGCATTACGACAGTAATTACTGTTTTTCCGCTAGTTATTTGTTCGTATTGCGAGCTTCCATAGCCAATAGCCCAACACCGGCACTATTGCGTAACATCGCAGCGTCTCGTTTCAGTTTGTCGGGCGGTTCATCGTTCGCAGTCTTATAATAATATCTCACCCTTTGTACAAACGTCCATGAATGGAATATTAATCGAATTTAACGATATCTTATTCATTATTAAAGCCTAAGGATCGATGAACGTACTTACGATGCTTCCGTAAACCTCGCGTCCCGCAACATTCGGGGCATCGATAATTACGGCAATGGTAATTGGCGAATCGCTTCTCCATCGGCAGGTTAATGAAATCGACCCGATAATTGAACGAGCGCGATGGTTTTTCACTTATGGAATTTATTGCTCTTCCGTAAGCTGCGTTTCGGCGAGAAACTTTCCCGCGACGCCGCGCATATAAGCGCCGCAGAACATTTCGTGCCTGGCAATTTGTTTATAAAGCGAGAAGGAGAGATAGAGGATGGATCAATGTGGCTTTTTACATTTTATTTGTTTTTTTTTTTTTTTTTTTTTTTTTTTTTCACTTTTTCTCCTAATGAAGAGTGATTGAGTGGCATGATTGGTGGTGGTGGTGGTGGTGGTGGTGGGGGTGGGGGGTCGAGTAGAGGAACAAGAGCGAAATAACGAAAGAAAGACAGGTTCCACGGTTGTTTTCCGCATTGACACTTAAATACTGGATAAAACTTTTCTTCCCAGTAATGTCGAGACATCGCGCTACCCAACAACGCTCAAATGCCTATTCTTCTTTTCCCAGAAATCACGTAATTGTGAAAATAATCTACTCGCCAAGCTCGTTTTTATTGAGATGCAGCCACGTCAGCGGCAAGAACATGCCTAAGCCGTCGACCCTTTACTTTGTGGCATAAATTCACCTTATGAGCGATAATATACGCATAATTTTCGAGCTCATTGAAAAATGAATAAATTTCTATAATTTATTCCGCGCTCGGTCGTAAAGAGCGGCCAAGCAAATAGGATAAAATAAATTCCAAGTATACATAAAGCTCATATCGTATCGATGGGAAAATCCGCGGATTTGACTCTTTTTTTGCTATCGGTCGCACCACCCGAAATTATTCGCCTGTTGCCTACCCCACCTCCTCCTAATCACCTAATCTCTATCCCGTATATTGAAAATGGCAGCAATAGACGAACAAAAGATAAAAAAACACTCACCGGAAATCACTTGCATCCAACCGCATATGTAGAAGACGGTGGTACTCTGGCAGAAGAGGAAGAGCAACATGGCGCAGATCGATGCGAGGGCGATTATCACCGCTATCGCGACCAAGATCGTGCTAACCCTGAATGGCACATTGGCGATTGTAGATAGATCATCCAGACGACCGACGCACTCCTCCAGGAGTTCACCTGTTACAGGAAAACCGCATTATCGGACTTATCGCTGATTTGATGCTTCATGGATCATGGGTTTGCGATCACCATTCCTAACTATCACTTATAAATAAGTCGAATTTCTTAAATCCATGCACAATTGTCTCAATGACTGTAATTTCAACTTTGACGTGCATTATCACGCTTTGGACAAGCATTATAAAAGCATCGCATAATCTCACGAGACTGTCACTTATTCAACAGCTCTGACTCCAATTCTAAATAACGAAACTTTTAAGAGCATAGTTGTATAATTAAGTAACAACGACACGATTAAATTGACCAAAATAGACAAAATATAGAGAAAAATTAAGCAGTACCCTATGTTTTAATCTTCAACGATTCATCGATACGTCGATGCTCAAACAAATTTAGCAAGTGTATGAACGTAATATATATTTATATTAAATTGAATATTTTATCCATTTTAGAGTATAAATAGGAATGTATTTTCATGTATTTTACATTAATTATACATAAATTAGCTAGTTATGCCATTAGATGTTAATTGATGATAAAACGTGAAAGTACCATGACTTTCACTGCTTGTCTATTGTAGTAATATATGCAACAAAAATGTTAAGTATCTTGTTGACCAGAGCAAACGGTCGAAATAAATTTTTCTGTCATAAAAAATCGCGTAACAATTAGATTTACTCAGTCTTAACGCGTACGATGCACATCACTTTAAATAACCAGCAGATCTCTGTGTATGTATATATATATATATATATATATATATATATATCGGGTAATATAATCTACATTATGCTTTTTATTAATACAGTTCTGACGAACTGCGACGCTTGCATTTAGACGAATGAAAATTAAAGCGAAAATTTAAATAGAAAGAGAAGGTTAAAAATACTTGCGAATTCTCTCGAGAAAATTCTTAATCCAATTGTTTCAAATCTTTTCGTAACTAAAAAAAGTATTATCAGTTTAATTGTATGTGGTGAAAATATGGATATTCGATATAATCATCTTCAGACTCTAAACTCACGGAGGGCTTTTTTTTCGTTTCATTAATATTGAAAAATGAAAAGAAAAAATCACTTTTGTCAAATGATTTAATTAATAAATTCATTGAAATCGCTTTTTAATGACGTGACTGCCTTCAACACACAAAAGGCCCATTTTTTAAATATACTTAATAATATTTATGATTGTATCGTGGAAAGTATAAAATATTTTCTCGTATTATCCATATCCTGACTGATATACAACGAGCGCTTATGTTTCTAAAATTATTAATTAATTAGTTGATATAAGAAGCGATATAACGGAAACTTACATAAGGCTCGAAACCTAATTATTCAAATAAGCTAAAGAGTGCTTGTTTCACAAGATAAATGATACTCGATAAAGTATTATAATAAAAAAAAAATAAAAAAAAACTTTTATCAATATGTTGCATACTGTGCATTAAACAAGTATTATTAATTGCTTTTCATATTAAATTTTACTATGTTGCCTGAAATATAAAGTTCTTGATGCCGCTCAACTGAATATTCTAGACATTTTTACTCACACGCCAATAATTTTAATAATAAGTATTATTATAGAATCAAAGGTTTATTAATAGACAAATAAAATTTCTCAAATGATTGAATTGTACGTAAGGCATTGGGCTTTCTAGTCAACAGGATGCGGATATTTATTTTAAGCCCATAACATTTAAAAGGCCTATAATTATTAACCGGAAGCAATCCGTTAATATACGCTTATAATATCAATTCAATCAATCGTGATACATTTTATCGATCGATTCGAAAACCAAAACAACGATCGTAAGATTAAAGCAAAACGGAAACAGCGTGATTACGTCAAAAAGCGAAAAATAACAAAACATAAATGCGTGGAGCTCGAAACGCCCAATAATTGAAAACCCAAATGACAAAAAACAAAAAACAAAAAACAAAAAACAAAATAAGCACAAAAAATGATAAAAAACAAAAGACGAGAGAACAAAACGAAGCAGAAAACGAATAATAGTACCGAAGACTCGTCAACATCGAGGTTTCTCCTTAAACTCGTGGAGTGCCGAAGGGAAGCAAAATAAAGGAAAGAGGGAAGACATGGAATTACCGGTTCCGCCGAAGCTGCACCTCATCCACAGTCCGAATCTGCCGGGGTTCTCGTGCTCAAGATCCCCGAGCCATTCGGGTGTGATGAACGCCACGACGCCGATGATGGCGTAGCATATGGTGAATATCCCCCAAAGGACGCCAATGGCCTTGGAGTTCCTGATGTAGTTCGTCGCGTACATGTGCGACGACTCGACGTATTCGACTTTCGAGCCCATTGTCGCTTCGGCACCTCCTCGGCTCGACTTTTTCCACGCGCTGCTTTCGAATGAGAGCCGCCGCCGCCGCAGCCGCCGCCGCCGCCGCCGCCGCCGCCGCCGCCGCCGCCACCGCCGACGCCGCTGCCGCCTCCTCCTCCAGCTCCTCCCTCCTTTATCTGCGGGTCATGCGTTGCAAAGGAATATCAGGCTAATGCAAGCCGATCAAGTGACACAACGAAACTTTCTATGATATTCAAATATCTCGTTTACCAACGCGAATCGCCTTCTCTCCTCGTCTTACTACTTATAGCCGTAACAATATATCGAACGCTTTCGCGCGAAATATCCCGGGAATTTTGTTTGGAATTATACTTGGCAGTGCAGTCGTTTTTGAGGACCAAATGTTTTTGATATCGTTGTGTGTCGGATTGCCAGTGCGGGGTTGCGAACCAACTCATTGATAACCGCGTGGCAATTGTGGAATGCATTGGGAGATGAAATTGCCGCGATCGGTGGGAGGGGAAAAAAAAAAGCAGAAAAGTATTGGACCTTATAGTTGGCGGAGTGGCAAAAATTTGAATGACATAGGGCGCGAGCCATGCCGATCAAATTAAGTGTAAATTTAATTGTGCGAGAGCGTAAGGATGGCCTAATGTAACAACAGAGAGAGAGAATAGATGTATGGAAGTTTTATCATAACATTTACTTTCTCCTTGCTGGCAACGCGAAATTCTTCGTCATAACTCTTACTCAATACACGCCACACTGCTCGTTCGCCCTTTCATTCGCATTCCCTTGACCGATATAACGCGACGCAGGATAATCGAAGGATATTGATCGAGCTTCACCTGGACTCCTCGGCCGCTGGACCACGGCCCGTATAAGTCTCAAAGGCCCGAGGCGATAAGCAATGAGAATAGGACTCGCATTCCTCGCCTGCAGGGCGCGCCGATATAGTGCAACGAGTACGAAGCAATGACGGAGGTAGCCGAGTCCCGCGGTATCCTGGATAGTGGCGCATCGTCGAGATTTAAGTCGGCGCTGTAACGGTACGTCCGCCGCTTGGGCCGAAGAATTCGAGGTCGCGGGCGTCTGGGCCTCGCACTCACCTGTGGCTGTAGGGGCGCGTGCGCGCGCGCGATCTCAGCCTCGGCTCCCCATGGCGATCGTTGGTGGCCAGCTGCAGCGATTTGCCACTCTCGCACACTTTTCACACCGCACGCACACCGCTGCTCATCACTACTGGCACCGCTTCCTCGTCCTCTCTTAGTCCTCGCGATCGTTCTCCGGTGCACAGTCCACCTCGACTGAACCGTAACGGGGCTTTCCCGTGGTGAGTCGCGCGGTTTTCCTCCTCCTTCGCCCCTTCCTTCGGCGTCTCTCGCTCCCTCTCCGTCTCGCGCGCAATCGGCTGCTGTCGTTGATCCACTTCACGCAACTATTTTCGTGGCGGGCCTTTTCGTCGACTTGACGGCCCGAAACTCATTGCACACTAAGGAAAGTGCGCAGACGATATATATATATATATATATATAGAGAGAGAGAGAGAGAGAGAGAGAGAGAGAGAGAGAGAGGAACTTGAGTAAGAATAAGGCCAGACAAAGTCTCGCATCAAAATGGCGTTCTCGCGTGAATGCAGACTATGAAAGGAAGATAGAGAGAGAGAGAGAGAGAGAGAGAGAGAGAGAGAGAGAGAGAGAGAGAGAGAGCGATAGAGTGGGGGAGGGAGAAGAGTCGCCAGGTGAGATAGGTGCAGGAGACGGAGAAAGAGAGAGAGAGAGAGAGAGGAACGCGTCAAGGAGTCCCTGGCGACCACCTTAGTAGGGGACTCACCAAGAAGAAAGAATGAACAAACGAGAATGAGATAGAAGAGGAGAAGATGACGTTGGTGGCGGGTGGAGGGACAGAGAAAGGGAGACTCTATCGTCGTGCATACTGGGTGTTTATTTTTGAATGCAGTCTCTTTCGGAGAAGGTTGATGTAGAAGACGATAAAGCTCAACGTCTTCATCGGCTTTTCTTATTTTACGGGATTAGTGACAGGATGTCGGTTGGCTTAAGTGTTATTACATGCAAAGTGTCTTTATCATTTTTCAATTTACCTACGTAAATTCGTCCTCAAGATGAATACATCAATTGTAAACTCTTCTTTCTAAATTCAACCCATCTGCCATTTAATTATAGAATTATAACGGAAGAATCTACTTGAGGCTTTTATTGTATAATCATATATTTCGAATAATTTATTCGGTTTAACAAATCAACACGATTGTATTATAATTGAATACTTACCGTTTTAAATAATAATTGTAAGATTTATGCAGGTTCACATGCATACGACAGCTACTATTTTACAATGTTATTACGCAATTATTATATTATAATTATAATAATTGCAATTGTATATTACTTAATTTTATATAGAATATATATATATATATATATATATATATATATTAATTAACTTTCGATATTTTTTAACTTACAGGCAGTGTGCATCGTGGACATCCTTCCACTTTAAATTGAATTAAAATATTTGCCCTATAGCTTCATTTACATAGAAATAATAATTTATCAAATAGAATACGGATTTTACATTAATTATCGGGATTAAAAACAAATTATATGAATAATATCTTTATTGCATTATAAAAATACTACCATATAAAAGATGTCGGTGTAGTAAAAGTGTAAACAATTCGTAATAATTCATCATACAGTCATACGTATTTCGCATCCACTGGTACATGTGATAAAAAAAAAAGAGAAAAGCAAAAAAAATTAACATTGTTCCCTTTTAATACATAATTTTTACAAATGTAGCGTCCACATTTAGTCAAACTTTTACATTTTTTTAGCGCTGAAAATGTGAGGGAAAACGTCCAGCAAATGGAAACTTTGACTAGGACCGCAAAGGGTTTGCAATGGGTTTGCAACGGGATTGCAACGTCAGCGATATAACCGATTGGTAATTTTTCCAAGCATATTTTCGGCAAAACGTCGTGTTATATCATGGCGTAAAGGTACGTTGCCCCTATGGGTGGTGATGGACTCGCAGGGGGTTGGTCCGAGGCGAATTCACGTCTCGACGAGCAGGTAAGCTCGACGATGCCGAGCCGCAAGACTGCGGGGAGTCGATGTTTTTGTCGCTCGCGATGACGAACGACCAAGGACGCTTGTTTATCCCTGTCATCGGCCCTAAAGTCGACAGACCCAAGCCCGCAAACGAGTGCCGTGGGTATTAACTGTTGTTGTCGTGTCGCTGACCCCCCCCCCCCCCCCCCCCCCCGTCCCCCACTCCGGAG